AAGTGAAAGAAGGAAAAGGACGATGAAATGAAATATAAAAAAATGGGAATACACATTTTATGTCACACTAATAAGAATAAAGAGAGTGAAAAATTAAAAATATGACTAAAAATTGTTGAGTATTCTAATCATTTGTTTTCAATGGCAGTTCGTGAAGTTTGAAAGAAGCTATAACACAACACCCTCAGTGTTACTTACAGCAAATCACAGCAGCACGGCTCCTGGAAACTCCGCACCAGCGCATTATGGGATTGCAAAATGGATTGAGGTACCAAAAATAACAACAGAGGATCATGGGACGTCCCATGACCAACATTTGGTTGAAAAAAACTAATCTGATAGTTTTTTAAGGGCAAAAGCAGGACTCTGCTGAAAAGGTCTGCCATGACAAGAATCCGTGCTCGTACCTTAACAACATCGCTCTTATATTTAGTGACATCATTTTTTCTCAAATCACTGGCAGTAAGGTTACGTAACGGGAAACCTAAGATTGTATGGAGGCTTCTCTCCTTTGCAGTTTCCCGTTGGGATACTGACAAAAAATTTTAATAAAAGTAAGCGCGCGAGTGACGATGGGAAGAGGGAAAAAAGCGGCTTCCCATCGTCTCCCACGCGCTTTCCTTTCTTTCTGCCCCAACCTCCCTACGACATAAAGAAGCCTCTGTGGAGGAGAGAGTGCGGGGGCACTTACGTTTCTCGCTAGTTGACGTCATTCTAAGGTGTGTGTTTGTTTTTTAGATGCCAGGGGGGAAGTTGTTAGATAGCTGTTGCCTTCAAAGAGGAATCTTTCTAGTGCAGGTTGAAGCGAAAAGCCAATTTGCAAATGTCAAACCTGCTTCTACTTGCTGAGTATGCGTGAAGAACCCTAAACAAGCAATATTTATACAAGTTTTGATCATCACAGTTACCTACAATCGTATAATCTTTTTTTGCAGAACATGAACAAAACCGGTTTCAGGGTGTGTGTGAAGGAGTTGTATGAGACCAGATATGATCCCGTGTCAGTGAGTTATGCAGTACTAGCAGGTCAGTTAACAAGAAAAGTACTTGATTTTATGACGTAACCGGTTCACCACAGCAAACCATCATGTCTTTATTGGTCGCACTGTTACATACGTCACGTGCAGAGATGTCACGTGGAATCATTGCTTAGCTTTTTTTTCATATAACAAATAGTTTTCCCTTACCGACATTGTATAATTTCGCATAAATTTGCTATGTATGACCTGAGGCTTATCTTGATGTAGCCGTCTTTCCTGTCGGCGGGTTATGTCTCCAATAAGTAACATGATAACTGTCAGCATTAGCCAATATCCATCAGCTCAAGGCAAACTTCTTGTTTCCAAAGATATCTGTGACCCTGGGTGGAGCTATTTCAATGGATTCTGTTATTTGACAAGTGAAAAATGCGTCAATTGGACAACAGCTCTCACCAAATGTCGTCAGGAAAACTCGGTCCTTGTTGACGTGACCAACGATGAGGAAAATGTTTATATTCAACATCGCCATAATGGAGACAAATCCTGGCTGGGCCTGAATGACATTTCCACGGAGGGTAACTTTACTTGGGCGGATCGCGCTGAGGGGAACTTTACAGCTTGGGCGAAGAATCAGCCGAATAACTTCAATGAAGAAGACTGCGTTCACGCACTCGGTCTGAGATACAACTATGAATGGAATGACGTCAAATGTAGGGATTGTCATCAGTACACTTGTAAGAAAGGTAGGATGCTAAAATTGTTTTCATTCATTTAGTTTTTTATGGTATTTGTTAATGGCTCGAGATTTTAGCTTAGGATTTTGAGAAAAAAAAACCAACTGTTTAACAGTCTACTTTCAGAGCATCTTGACCTTCTTTTCAAAGAGCGACTACCCATATTTCAACGTTCAGCAAAGATAAATCTTTCCCTTGTTAACCTTTTTATCCGTAGATAAACATGTTTAAAAAGCTTTGAGCTTCCAATTAATCGAAAGCCTTTATTAGGTCTTTTTGAAAACAGTCGGAAAGCGTTTTGCTATCCTTGAAGGTTGCTTTGCTTCTAAAACTGTTAAGTAGGACTGAAATTAAAAAAATCTAAGGTACGGTATGGATCCTCATATGGATAGCATTACATTCCGGCCAATCATGCCTATGGTGTCTATAAATTAAAGTTGGCAAGATACGCAAAAATTTGAACAAGAATTTTTAGTAGAATTTCATACACATAGACTAAGTCGTCTTTCCAATCGATTAAACAATTATCCATCAAGTCTGCCGGTACTTCCAAAAACATCTGATAAATTCTTCAAAAGCCACGGTACAATCAAATCATAAGTATGATACTATGCTACATAGTATCCTTTAAGGATTTTAATAATGAAGTCGAAACCAATTGTGGAATCCCAGATATCTTGTGCATCCTCCGGCCGCGGATAAGCGATTACGTCAGGTATTTGCAAATGTAACAATAGTCTCTCTTTCCTCTTTCTCTTCTATAACAAAATATGATATTTGTTGCTAACGAAAGTGGAAGTAAAGGTAAGATAGATAGATAGATAGTTTATTAAAATATCGAACATGGCAGTCCGTAGACTGAATTGCGTTACAATTACTTAAAACTAATATTAAATAAATTCCAAATTATATTTATGATTAACTTTAATATTGTTTTTTGTAAAGATATTTTTACGCTTTTTGAGAGATATATATTGATCCATGTTTGACCAGGTTTTTTAATACATGTCATACTTGGAATAAAAGCGTTCTTAAAACGATTTGTATGTGTGCGGGGCATGGCATAAGCCCTGGACTGTCTTAGATTATGTCTGTGTTCTCTCTTAGGAGTAGGTAACTAGTCGCATATATGGTTTATAAAATTTACAAAGTAAGAAAGCAGAAAGGAACGAAACTACTTTTTGCATCATGTAATTCCAGAAAATATCCATACCCCCGCCCCTCCTTCCCTCCACGGAGGGCAAAGGGTATTCCGAGAAGAGGGGGGTCCAAAAGAAGGTAATTTTCGAGGGGGTGGGGGTCGCTTAGAGAGGTTTTTTTTTACAGGGGGTCTGAGTAAGATTGGTGAGTCATTAATAAATGATAGCTTCTCTTCTTCTCTGTTGAGCAAGATATCAGTTATTTTACTGTTATCGGTGATTCAAAACAACTATTATTATTTGCATTAATCATCGATTATCAACGGTCGGCTAAATGCTTTTTTCACGGCTTATGCGATACTTTTCTTTAATACAATTGTCATCGACTCGTGAATAAAATTATCTTGTTGTTGCTTTATTATACATTTGATTCACCGAAATTTGGTCGTGTCTTTTAAGACACGACCACATTACAATGTAACATGTTCTAACCGAATTGAAGTAATGAAATTTCACGTTGCGTTTAGTTTGAATGTACCTGGTTATTTTGCAGATGACATTACTCATGTAGTCAGGTACGGTAACGCCTCTATGGTTAATTATTAGCTAAGAACGGCCTGAGATCATTAGACACCGTAATAACATGAACGAAAAGATTTTTTCCCATTTCATCGCAGAAAAAATTATCTTTCGCATGATAATATAGTGCAACAACATTTTTGGCACAAATATTCTTTCCAGAGGGTGCCCAACCACGTTAATTACAGAAAACCTAGAGGAGTGGGGGTATGACAACCACCCTCTGGAATGGAAATTCCAGGTGAAGAGTCTAAAGCAAAAGTGCCCTCCGTGGAGGGGGTGGGAGTTGGGGGGTATGGATATTTTCTGGAAATACACATTTCAATTTGGGTTCACGTTCTTCCGAACCTCTCGCCGTTCCGCCCTCATAAAATACTAAAGGCTAAAAAAATAAACAAAAAAACTGTTTGTCTGTGGCATGCTTAGTGCTCACCTGAAGCAAACAGCCTACATTTCCAAAAATCGCCCTCGTTTTTATACTTTCATTTCAAAAGATGAGTCATTTGTATTAACTGTTCATTGTTTGTTTAGATTTCAATGAGTGTGAAAAAAAGACAAACAAATGTCCCCTGCATGCTAGATGTGCCAATGAACGTGGATCCTATTCATGCAAGTGCAAGCCTGGGTATGTTGGAAATGGACATAACTGTCGCCTGGCAACCGGGAGATCCTGCTCGGAAATCCGGAAATACTTTAGTAGCGTCAGTAGAAACTATATCATTGATCCAGATGGCGAGGGAGGTCTGGCACCATTCTCAGTGTACTGTGACATGACTGACAGGAAGGGTGTTGGCGTGACAGTCATCAGTCACAACAGTGAGACCAGGACGTTGGTGAATGGATATGAAGCTCAAGGTGGTTACTCACGCGACATTCAATATACTGGAGCCAGTCTGTCTCAGTTAGCGAGTCTCACCGGAGTCTCCTCACACTGTGAGCAGTTTATCAAGTATGAGTGTTATGATTCGGTGCTGCTTTTTAATAACCATTTTTACGGATGGTGGGTGTCACGTGATTCTTCTAAGATGACGTACTGGGGTGGAGCATCTGTCAGGGGCAAGTGCGCATGCGGGATGACCAACTCATGTGCAAACCCCAGTTACGGCTGCAACTGTGATAAGAATGATCATGTTTGGCGCGAAGACAGCGGTGTCCTGACTGACAAGAGAAAGCTTCCAGTGAAACAGCTCAGGTTTGGAGATACTGGTGGTAGTCGCGAAAAAGGCTATCACACTCTGGGGAAACTGAAGTGCTACGGCATAGCGTAAAGACGTATTTACTACATGACCGGCTTAGGACCTTAACTAAATTGAATAAAAAGATTAAAACAAAGAAACAACAAACGAAAGGAAAAGCCGGATAGCATTAATTAGAGGATTTTAGTCTTTATTTAAATCTTTTCACTTGGACTTCATGCACCAACTTGGTTATAGAATACGTTCGCAATTATCGTTACCAAGGCCTATGCTATTCCCATTTTCCTTCGCCCGACAGGCGGATAAGGCCAGCCTGGAAAAGAGGACTGGTGTCGTCAGTGTAGGATATACTAGGCAACATTTCCTTTCAAAACTTGAACATATATAAAATACGTTTTTGAAACGGATCGAGAATAAGCATGGAAGTTAATTAAATTAATCAACTAGTGTTAAAATTACAGCAAGGAGCCCAAAACTGTGCACTGCTTTTAATTTCTTCACATTCTTTCATCCAGATTTAATCCAATCAGAAGCCAGCTGGAAACTGTCCTCGAATGCCTTCGTGAAAGACTGTGACTTAATTAAAGGAGGTCACACTTTATGGTTCCTTGCCGTAATGCTGGGTCACACGTCTGAAACACTGGACTCGACTTGATGAAGCGAAACGCAGGAAACATCTTCTTTTGGTTTCCGTTGCTTTGTCCGCTTTATCATCACTACTGTAAACTACAATTGCGAATAAGAAAAAAAAATTGATAAGATGAAGTCTTGCTTACCATAAAGATGTCCCTTCAAAAGAGGTAACAATTTCAAAGATTATATTAACATTTTTCCGGGACCAAATTTTGTGTCCCCTGAATGGAGGTGTCCCAAAGGAGAGGTTCCACTGTAGTTAGAATTGAAAGAAAGAGGGGGCGGGGAGAGGGGGGAATGGGTAGATCAAGCTGGGAGGTGAAAGAGGGAGAAGCCACCAACTTTAATTGGTTCGGGTTTAAGTGATGTGGATGTTTTTCCACGTGATATCCCTGTTTTTGAGCTTCCTGGATCGACCCACCTGAAACCTTCATTGATTTTGCATTCAAAATGAGTTTAAAAGAAAGCTTACAAAGCGTCTCGTTGGTGAAGGGGCTTGACAGTAAAAGAGTTCTAAACTGTTGTTCATCCTTTCAGTTTTGGACTTTAAAAGAATCATACTTTGCATTGGAAGATTCGCCCTTCACTGTTGTGACGTTTGTGAGTTATCCTATATGCGTATGTTATTCCTTGTTTTTAAAACGTCAGTTAAAAGCAGGCCACGTTTATTGGTGGCATTCCAGTCAATTGATACTAAGACATATTGCAATGTTGCCGATTCATTCCTATAGAAACGAATCAGATCTCAATTCCAGAACCAATCTCAATGTGGCAATGATTTATCAGTGCTGTGATGGCTCAAAGATTTAAATATTGATTTAAAAAATGTTCTTGGTTGTAAGCCAATAACCTGTGAATACTCTAAGCATATAAATAGCACAGCGTTGCTATCATAAGCTTTACACATGATAGCAGAAAACCTTTTGAGACTTAATAACCTTTTAAAAAAGCTTAAATTTTGAGATAAGTGAGCATTTTATCTGGGCCGGTATTGAGAGTTAAAAAGCCTTTGAAAGAGAAAATATGGAAAAATGCACTTATAAACATATGTTGCTTTTGAAAGATAAATAAAAGCTGAACCAAAAACTTGTAGTTAAGGGTTTGCATTTTTAGAGTAACAGAGATATATCCAAACCTTATTCTTTTCT